TATTGCAAGAATACTGAACAAGACAAGAGTCAAATTCAGACAACAGTCAACAGATGGAATTAAAGTTTATCTGCCCAGCACTGTTGAAATACACATATGAGAACTATGAGCCATCACTCTTTCATCTGCTGCCATCTGCATTTCTCTTGTGATGGTGGTTCTCATGGGTAAAACAGGATATAACCAAGAGAGCAGGATAGGGACCCAAGGAACCACCAAGTGTGTCCACCAAAAAAATAAGAGTAGAGGCATGAGAGCCCTTATGTCCAGTAATCCTATATATTTAGTATTTAAGTACTTACATTTGATGAGGTTGCTGTAACCCCACTGAATGAGTCATACAACCTTTCATGGGCACAGCTTGAGAATACTCCTGTGTAGATATAATTGGTTGCTATCAGTGCCTTGGAGGTACCAGTCCTAGGTCCTTGAAGTGACCATCAGGTGGATAATTAATATGCTTGTTGTTTTAGAAGGGATTCCAACAGCAGAATTTGGATGTGTGGTGTGTCTAGTGATAGATCAGTCATCATATTTGATGAACATCGAATTTCAATAAAGCAGCTTGATTTTTTTTTTTCCATAAAGTTTATTAATAAACTCAGAGCATACAATAGGTACAGGTAATACAAGGTATCAGTCGGAAATACAATAGGAGGTAATACACATACAGCAAACAAAAAGATACATAGCAATACATAGGCAAAGAATCAGACGTAGGTCATCCAAGGGAAAAGAAAACAGGGGAAAAATGAGGACATGCAAACGCAGGAACATTAAAGGCATATCTGGTCTCAAGCCCTTATTCAGCATATTGGAATCACAGCACTGGCAGGGTTGATGATATATAACCTCAGTTACTGAGCAGCAGCAAAGAGCAGGGCCAGTGAGTCAAAGGTATGCATTGGAAATGTATACAGTAGGTGTGGAGGGGGGGGGGTGCAAGGGCTTGTAGGATAGGGCCTTTTACTTTTGATGAAACTGAGGTAACCCACTACAGGTTGCCAGCATGTAGGTAAAGGGTTCAGGAAAGGAGATATGTAAAAGTAAAACATATGTGCAGCTGGATTGCAGATAGGGAGTAGGGCTCCTATGCGTAGAGAAGTGTACCAAAAATGGAAAAATAGAAAGGGGAGAATGAAAGCTAAACTCTGAGTAGGAAAGCAAGGAAATGGGGATTAAGAATTTAAGAATAAGGAGTAGGAGGGTAGGTAAGTCACCTTTACTCAAGACTCCAAGGACATGAGAGATAGGCGCAACCCTGGCAGAGAAGCGAGCTGGGGACAGTTGCAGGGTGCCAAGCGTAACTTGCTCCAAGCAGTACAGGACATCAAGACAAAGGACCTCAATCACAACCTTAAAAAAAACAGAGAGCCGATATATCGCCATAAACACTACTACGGGGTATCAGAGAGGTTCAGAATCAGTCAGCAAGGCCCATGAAACAACGATATTCAGGGGTCGTTCGGAAGTGAATCCAACAGGACCATGTATGAGAAAATTTAGTAGGGTTATCCAGAGAAGAAGCAATCAGCTCTTCCATTTCAGCAATTCTGTTCAAACGTAAGCTTGATTTTTATCAAATACGATGACCCCAATCCACCATTATACACACCACCCACGCCAAACCACACCACACATCCAAAGTGCTGCTGTTCAAATAACTGACAGGTTTTTTACTTTTTCTCAAACAACATCCATCTGCATGTTCACTGTTGGCACAGCTTTTAAAGCTGTGCTACCCTCTTCCAGTTTAACTGCTGTAAGAGAGAATTACAGGGGGTTGATAGTGAGACAAATTCTGATACTTTTCACAAGCTACAATAGTTTGTATACCTAGCGTTAAGCTTTAATTTTCTTGGAGAAGTAATCATAGCACAATAATGGACAAGCTGGATAACAATCCCCTCTTTTGGTGAAGGTTATCTTCGAAGGTTGGTTCCCTCAGTCGATTTACAGGGCAGTACCATTCCTAGTCTGTGGTCTTTATGGAGATTGGCTACCAAACTTGCCTTGACTAAGGTAGTTCACAGTCTCAGTCTTCCCTTTGGGCATTATCCTACAAACAGTAAATGAGGTTGTCAAGTCACAGTGTGGTCAGAGTTGGTAATATGGCAGTCCATGCACATGTTCAGTTTCTGCTCTGACAGAAGCTCTGGATTTCCACCATGAGATTAGTAATGTTCCTTTTATAGGGAAAGCAGTGCTGACCCTCTGCTACTGCTATGCAGACACATCTGTGACTTTAGTTTAGGCAATTTAGTTGTCAGAAATTCCACCTCACTTCCTTGACCAGCAGCTCATGCAAGCTTAGTTAATTAAAGGATCGCAAATCATCTTCTTTGCAGGTACTTGCTACAAGTTTGTGACTATTTTCTCACATATGTGGGGACTTGTACACCCTGACTATTTTATATCACATTTGTAACTACTAATGTCTACAGGATCTCCCCAGCTGACTGCTATCTAAAGGAATAGCTGTCCAAGCTGACCTGCTGAGTGTTTGTGTGTTGGCAGTCTATGGACAGTTTTTTTCCTGCGGTTGCAGAACTTCCACCCAGGATCCTCAGACACCAACCTCCATATGGCTGACAAATGCAGCCCAAAAGATAATTTGTAAAAAAAGAACTGTCTGAAAGCTTGCCATTTTATGAACATCTAATAATACTGGGCTTCCCACAATGATAGTTCAAGGAATCCCACTACAAATTCAACATCGGGCCCTTTATTTTTTCAACTATTCTAGCAAATAAACTTGATGGATATGTGTTTTTTTTAACCTAATTATGTAACTATGATGTTGGGATTACCATGATAAGTTAAAATGTATCTAAAACCAAAACCTTTTCTTTTTGTCATCTCCCACTTCCCTACTCTGTTCCAAACAAAAAAATGTTTCGGCTTTACAAACCAGCGGAAGATGGTGAATGGCGATGACCAAATTGTTGATTAAAAAGGTTATGGATGGGGATATATGATGCATTGTGAGAATGGTAATGATGAATGATGATGATGAGGGCGAAGAAAATGGAATATGATATTTAATGCAAGATGCTCGGTGATAGTTTATTGATGATACCCAATGCATGATAACGATTGTGATGATTACCTTTTCTATTTTTCCCTATAGGTGTTTGTGATACACAATCAGACAATGGTACCAGCAGCTCAAGGAGCAATGCCCGTACATTATCCATCTTATACACAGTCACCACAAAGTTATACTGTAAATTCTGAAAAAGAAAAACCTTCTATGTGACACTAAATTGGGAGATGAATTGCCTGACATGTTTTTTGTGACTCTATTGGTGGGGATGATACAACAAGTGGTCATATGGGTGAATTTATCTTCTGACTGTGTCCTTTAGATCATGTCTCTTTTTTTAACACACTATGTTATATTTATGAACTTCCATATTCAATATAGTGAAACACTTCAACTGTCTCTTTGCTGAACACTAAGGGCCCTTTCACCTTTTTTCGGTGTGCTGTAGTGCATCATGCTAAGGCATGCACATTCCTTTTGAATTGGGAATGGGATGCCAATGTACCCCAGCAACTCAAAAATCAGTCTTTTTTATGCTTAGGCAACACACAAAATCTCATTGCAGTGCATTGTGTACTGCAACTCAGGTCAGTTGCCACTGCATTGTGATGATATATAAAATGAATCGCACAGCAATGAACTTACACATGCATGCTATAGTACAGCAAAGCAAAGGTGTAAAGCCAGCCTTAATGGATATTATCTATATTTTGTATATGTGTTTGTTGGATGTATTTTGTATACTTAAAAAACTATACCACAACATTTCTGTTTTGTACTGTATTTCATTCAAAAATAGATAACGGAATAAAATGGTGAAATAAAACTCAAAGGGAAGGAACTGTCTGTCAGGGCTCCGGGAATGACCAGAGGTGTGTGGACCGACACAGGGAAACACAGACTTCAGGTATAGCGTGTAAACAAGATAATTATTAAGGACAACACAAACATAAAATGCAGTGCAACAAACCAAACCCAAAACTAACACAAATACATACAACAAGGTGTGAAACAAACCCAAACCTAAACTGACATATATATATATATATATATATATATATATATGTATATATATATATGGAGCACAACGTAGTCAGGCAGGCCGGGTCGGTAGCTAACGGGCAAACAGGGTACCAGGAGCGAGCAGAAGAGTGGTCAGGAATAGCCGAGGTCAGGACAGGCGGAGTTCATTCAGAGTCAGGTTCAGAGTCAGGATCAAAGCAGGATCAGGCAGGAAGCAGACAGGATGCAGGTACAGGGGCTCATGGGAAACATACACCAAGGCACTGATCACAGGCATGGTCCTGCTTAAATACACCTCCTGCAATCAGCCTCAGGTGATGGCCTGATTGCAGGAGTGAGATTCTGACTGCTGAGAGCACCCGCTGGCCAGCCTTGGTACTGCAGCCCACAAGGCAGGTGAGTCCCACCACCATTGACAAGTCCATTCCTGACAGTACCCCCCCCCTCAAGGAGTGGCCTCAGGACGCTCCAAACAGTCCTTCCACCGCCTGGGTCAGGTAACTGACTGGATATCAGGGGCTGGCACATCAGGCTGGGCAGCGGACGGAGGCACACCAGGCGGAGCAGCGGGCACCGGGCCATCAGGCGAGGCAGCGGGCACCGAGTCATCGGGCTCGACAGCGGGCCCGAGTCACCAAGCTTGACAGCGGGCACCGAGTCACCAACCTCGACAGCGGGCACTGAGTCACCAAGCTCGACAGCGGGCACCGAGTCATCTGGCACGACAGCGGGCACCGGGTTACCAAGCTCGACAGCGGGCACCGAGTCATCTGGCACAATAGTGGGCACCGAGTCACCAGGCACGACAGCGGGCACCGAGTCATCTGGCACGACAGCGGCACCGAGTCACCAAGCTCCACAGCAGGCACCGAGTCACCAAGCTCCACAGCGGGCACCGAGTCATCTGGCACGACAGCGGCCACCGAGTCATCTGGCACGACAGCGGCCACCGAGTCATCTGGCACGACAGCGGCCACCGAGTCATCTGGCACAACAGCGGGCACCGAGTCACCAAGCTCGACAGCGGGCACCGAGTCACCAAGCTCGACAGCGGGCACCGAGTCATCTGGCACAACAGCGGCCACCAAGTCATCTGGCACGACAGCGGCCACCAAGTCATCTGGCACGACAGCGGCCACCGAGTCATCTGGCACGACAGCGAGCACCAAGTCATCCGGCACGACAGCGGGCACCGAGTCATCTGGCCTGACAGCAGGCACCAAGTCACCAAGCTCGACAGCGGGCACCGAGGCACCAGGCCGGACCACGGGCACCGAGGCACCAGGCCGGACCACGGGCACCGAGGCACCAGGCAGGACCGGGTCATCAGGCTGGATCACGAAAACCAGGTCATCAGGCTGGATCGGGTCATCAGGCTGGATCGGTTCATCAGGCCAGATCGGGTCATCAGGCCGGATCACGAACACCGGGTCATCAGGCTGGATCGGGTCATCAGGCTGGATCGAGTCATCAGGCTGGATCGGGCCATCAGGCTGGATCGCGCCATCAGGCTGGGTAGTGGGCACCAGGTCATCATGCTGGGTAGGATCATCAGGCTGGGTAGGATCATAAAGCTGGATCACGAACACCGGGTCATCAGGCTGGATCGGGTCATCAGGCAGGATCGCGAACACCGGGTCATCAGGCTGGATCGGGTCATCAGGCTGTATCACGAACACTGGGTCATCAGGCTGGATCGGGTCATCAGGCTGGATCGGGCCATCAGGCTGGATCAGGCCATGAGGCTGGATCGGGCCATCAGGCTGGATCGGGCCATCAGGCTGGGTAGCGGGCACCAGGCCATCACGCTGGAAAGGGTCATCAGGCTGGGTAGGATCATCAGGCTGAGTAGGATCATCAGGCTGGATCGGGTCATCAGGCTGGATCGGCTCATCAGGCTGGATCATCAGGCTGGATCGGGCCATCAGGCTGGATAGGGTCATCAGGCTGGGTAGCGGCCACCAGGCCATCACGCTGGAAAGGATCATCAGGCTGGGTAGGATCATCAGGCTGGATCGGGTCATCAGGCTGGATCACGAACACCGGGTCATCAGGCTGGATCGGGTCATCAGGCTGGGTCACGAACACCGGGTCATCAGGCTGGATCGGGTCATCAGGCTGGGTAGCGTACACTGGGGCATCAGGCATCAGGCTGAACAACGGAAGGCGGGTTCTCAGACAGCAGGCTGACCGGTTTAGATACTGGTAGTATGGTACTGGTTGGAAAGAATTTTCGCTTCTTTTTGGGTTTAGTTACTGGGGCACTGCAAGTAAATGCAGGTCTGTAAATGGATGGAGTAGCTGGGGACAGAGAAGAGCTGGAGGATGGAACAGAGGAGGGAATAGTTGTTACAGCAGCCTTTTTTACAGGGTTAAAGGCAGGATAGGTGCAGCGAGTGGGAACAGGGTACTGACATGTGGTAGATAGCAGGGTATATTGGGCTGTCACTGGGGGTGCTGTCGGGAATGCAGGAATAGAGCTTTGAGCAGAGGAATGATTAGAAGCAGGACGGGTTTGTTGCAAGCTGACTAAGGCTGGGTGTAACAAGTCTGACCAGGACTGTAGTATTGGTTGAACAAAACTCAGCTTACACATAGCCTGTCTGACCAAAGACTGCACTGCGTTTATACACTCCACTAGCACATGTGGTGAACATGCTGAATAATGTTCCCAGAAGCAATTCGGATCATCCTCCAACAACCATACCAGTGATTCTATTTGATCCACACTGAATGGTGGAAGAAAGTCATCCCTGCTTTCAGGGGTACTAGATGAAGCCAACTCAACACAAGCCTGAATCAATGGTTGCACCTCAGAGAACTCCATGCCCTGATCTACTAGGGAATGAGCGACCCGTATACACTCTAGCAGCTGATCCCTGGTATACTCCTGCAGAGTCTGATAGGCATATTCTCTGTCATCTAAGACTAGCAAATACAAGTATATAACCTCCTCAGGATGCATCCTTCCCAACAACAAGCCAAGATGGCTTCCCTGTCCAGCCACTTCTGGTCAGGAATGGCCTTGGTGTAATGTCAGGGCTCCGGGAATGACCAGAGGTGTGTGGACCGACACAGGAAAACACAGACTTCAGGTATAGCGTGTAAACAAGATAATTATTAAGGACAACACAAACATAAAACGCAGTGCAATAAACCAAACCCAAAACTAACACAAATACATACAACAAGGTGAAACAAACCCAAACCTAAACTGATATATATATATATATATATATATATATATATGTATATATATATATACGGAGCACAACGTAGTCAGGCGGGCCGGGTTGGTAGCTAACGGGCAAACAGGGTACCAGGAGCGAGCAGAAGAGTGGTCAGGAATAGCCGAGGTCAGGACAGGCGGAGTTCGTTCAGAGTCAGGATCCAGGCAGGAAGCAGACAGGATGCAGGTACAGGGGCTCATGGGAAACATACACCAAGGCACTGATCACAGGCCTGGTCCTGCTTAAATACACCTCCTGCAATCAGCCTCAGGTGATGGCCTGATTGCAGGAGTAAGATTCTGGCTGCTGAGAGCACCCGCTGGCCAGCCTTGGTACTGCAGCCCACAAGGCAGGTGAGTCCCACCACCATTGGCGAGTCCATTCCTGACACTGTCGTAACACCTCTAACAGAATTCTTTCACCGGGCACTTAAAAGTTACTGCTTTTGAGTTGCTGGCTCTTACATGAGGCAGAAAAAGCTTATTGCATTTCCATTACTCTTTTATCTCAGGCTCGGGGGAACAGGGGGGCGGTTAGTGAGGGGCCTGTCAATTAGGCTGTAATGGGCCCCATGAGTTATAATGGCAACCCTATCTAGGGACAACCAAAAAAAACCTCTAAAATCCAGGTAGTCATTTTTTAAATTCCTTCTATCCTTTTCTTGCATATTCTTCCTTGATGTTGCAGGCCAGACTCAGCCGCCTCTTACTGTTTACTATTTAGTGACATAACCCCAATGTGTAAAATGCAGAAAACGTACTGTGGTTGACAACATATTGTATATTATAGTGCTACTTTTGTTATACAGTGAGGAACAGAAGTATTTGAACACCCTTTGATTTTGCAAGTTCTCCCACTTAGAAATCATGGAGGGGTCTAAAATTCACATTGTAGGTGCATTCCCACTCTGAAAGACAGAATAAAAAAAAAAAATTCAGGAAATCACATTGTATGGTTTTTAAAAAATGTATTTCTCTTGTACTGCTGAACATAAGTATTTGAACGCCTGAGAAAATCAGTGTTAATATTTGGTACAGAAGCCTTTGCAATTACAGAGGTCAAACATTTCCTGTAGTTATTGACCAGGTTTGCACACACTGCAACAGGGATTTTTGGCCCACTCCTCCACACAGATCTCCTCTAGATCTGTCAGGTTTCGGGGCTGTCGCTGAGCAACACGGAGTTTCAGCTCCCTCCAAAGATGTTCTATTGGATTTAGGTCTGGAGACTAGCTAGGCCACTCCAGAACCTTGATATGCTTCTTACGGAGCCACTCCTTGGTTATTCTGGCTGTGTGCTTCGGGTCGTTGTCATGTTGGAAGACCCAGCCACGACCCATCTTCAATGCTCTGACTGAGGGAAGGAGGTTGTTGCTCAAAATCTCACAATAAATGGCCCCATTCATCCTCTCCTTAATACAGTGCAGTCGTCCTGTCCCCTTCGCAGAAAAGCACCCCCAAAGCATGATGTTACCACCCCCATGCTTCACAGTAGGGATGGTGTTCTTGGGATGCAACTCATCCTTCTTTTTCCTCCAAACACGACGAGTGAAGTTTAGACCAAAAAGTTCTACTTTGGTCTCATCTGACCACATGACTTTCTCCCACGTCTCCTCTGGATCATCCAGATGGTCATTGGCAAACTTCAGATGGGCCTGGACATGTGATGACTCGAGCAGGGGAACCTTCTGTGCAATGCATGATTTGAAACCATGACGGCGTAGTGTTCTACTGACAGTGACCTTTGAAACTGTGGTCCCAGCTCTCTTCCTGTCATTGACCAGCTCCTCCCTTGTAGTTTCTGGGCTGATTTCTCACCTTTCTTATCATTAGTGATACCCACGAGGTGAAATCTTGCATGGAGCCCCAGTCCGAGGGAGACTGACAGTCGTCTTTAGCCTCTTCCATTTTCTAACAATTGCTCTATTTGATCTAGTTGATCTATTTTCACCAAGCTGCCTGGCAATTGCCCCGTAGCCCTTTCCAGCCATGTGGAGGTACACAATTTTGTCTCTGGTGTCTTTTGACAGCTCTTTGGTCTTACCCATGGTAGTAGTTGGCGTCTGAATGACTGTGGGGTTGACAGGTGTCTTTAAAGAGCTCAGACAGGTGCTACTAAGTTAGATTAATGAGTGGAGTAGAGGTGGACTTTTTAAAGGCACAGTAACAGGTCTTTGAGAGCCAGAATTCTTGGTGTTTCTTAGGTGTTCAAATACTTATGTTCAACAGTGCAAGACAAATACATTCTTTAAAAATCATACAATGTGATTTCCTGAATTTGTTTTTTAAATTCTGTCTCTCAGAGTGGGAATGCACCTAAAAATGTGAATTTCAGACCCCTTCATGATTTCAAAGTGGGAGAACTTGCAAAATCGCACGGTGTTCAAATACTTCTGTTCCTCACTGTATGCAACAGATAAGGACCACCCGCAGCAAAACCCTCTAGTGTGCTATTAGAATAGTGTAGTGTATTGCAGGTGAAATTATTGTTTGACGCATGGTAACTGTGTGAGTTTGGGATTGAGGTTGGGCTACTGCAGGTCAGCTGAATGAATTAACAGGTTGTGGCTCTATCGCCTCCTCCTGACTCTAGAGGACCATAGAACCCTCCAGAAGTCAATAAGCAGGAAAAGGTGGAGACCTAATCTGCATATTTATGGGAGTCTGGCCAATGCCAGGTTTGGAGGCCCTGGTAAAGTGATGGACTGGCCTATAAATATGGGGAGAGTCAGGCTGACAGAGGAGTAGGGTGGAAGATGGAGTGCTGAGGAGACTGTCGGTGCCTGGGAAGGGTGGCCTCCAGGCTGGGTTATCAGGAGAGATACATTCAGCAGTGCAGCATAGATGGGATCAAGACGTGGATCAGTGGGAGCAAAAATGACAGTGTGAGTACATCAGCACTTCCTGAGGGGAAAGAAAGTAACTCGAGCCACATGTAGAGAAAAGCTTTCTAATGACAAGTGCGCTGAAACTCAGTAATCCCCCCTTAATCCAGCCCTCCTAGCAAGGCTGTAAAAAAAAGAAAATGAGTGATAAGGAAAT